CTGTCTTGTTTTTGGGGGAAGCTGCTTTTAAAATTTTCTCTTTCTCTTAGGTTTTCAGAATTTTTATTATGATGTTTCTACCTGTGGGTTTTTTGGTTTTTTTGTATTTTTTTCCTGCTTGATATTTTATAGCACTTATTGAATCTGTGGGTTGATGTATTTCATCAGTTTTAGAACATTCTCAGCTGTTATCTTTTCAAGTATTGCTTCTCTGTTCTCTCTCCGCACTCCTCTGAGACTCTGTGTGTATTAGAACTCTTTATTGTGTCCTTATGTTTTTCTCTGAAATTTCCATCCTCTTTGCTCACCATGCTTCAGCCTGGATATTTTCTACTGACTTAACTTTCAAATTGTCTCTTCTGTTGTGTCCAATTTACTGTTAAACTCATCTATTGAGTTCTTAATTTCAATTATTGCAGTTTTTAGTTCTAGGATTTCCACTTCATTGATTTATGTATTTTAATAGATTTCAGTTCTATATGCCTTGTCATTTATTTTCTTGAACACAATAATCACAATTATTTTTAAGTTCACATCTCATAATTCAAATAACTGTGCTATACGTGTGTTGTCTGTTGGTCTGTTTCTATTGTCTATTTTTTCCTTGGTCTTGTTCATTAGTATATTTGATAAACATTGATTGAATGGTGAACAACGATAATAAAATTATGGAGGCTCTGGATGAGCATGTTTTTCTCTTGTGAAGGTTTTCTCTATCCTCTGGCATGCAGCCTGAATGAGTGCAGATCACCATAACTGAGGCCAGGACAGAACTGACTCAAAGCTGGGTTGCAATTTGTATTAGCCTCAGACTACCTTTGGTTCATCCTAACTCCTGGAATGTAGCTCTGAGGAACTTTCCATGGGCCCTCTTCCTTGGTGGGGCCTGAAATCTGATTTTTGTTTCCTTAGCATAGGGAGACTGCCAAAAACTCCGCTGTGATCTTCAAGGTCTTTCTACTTAACTTTTTAGTCTCTTGTCCTGTGCAGCTTAAGAACTCGGCACATACCTCAGAAGGAATACTGCAGAGTGTCTGGCTCATTTCTCTGTGCTTCCATGCTTTCTGGAAATTTGACCATAAGTCCTAGATACCTTTGCAGTTCTAAACAGCAATTTCTGTTTCTCTAACACCATGAGATTGCCAAAAGCTTGCAAAATTCTTTGCCTTTAGGTATGGCCTTCTGCTGGGATTATCATCCTCTACTCCCAGTCAAGAAATGGCAAATGCTTTCAGGGGAAAACTGGCTCATTGATTATCAGCTCACCTCTCTGAAGTTCTCTTCTCTGAGATCTCAGCCCCTCAAGTTCTGACTGACTGATCAGCAGTCTCCAATACCTTCAATAAGATATTTAAACATTTTTTCATACAGTTTTTCACATCATTCTCAGATAGAACATTGGTTTGCCACAAGCTACAACATCTTAGCCAGAAACAGAAATATCTGTATTTCTTCTTAAAATGATACTTTTGGGTCCTACTGACTTAGTCATTTATTGCTTGCAATTTTTTAGCCCTTAACTACAGTAATTATTACTAAATTTATGTGTGAGTTTTGTTTGCTTGTTGATTGTTGTTTTTGTTTTTTTTTTTTTACTAATTCTGTCCAATGAATTCTATCAATATTCCAAACTGCATCGATTAAAGTCATTTCAGGATGATGGGTTCTTTCCCAAAGAGTAATTTGTTGTTGAAAATAAATTAATTAAGGTCCTACTCCATAATGTGAGAGACTTTGTGAGGACTTGAATATAAGAGGAATTCCTCTTTTTTGAGGTTAACATTGGGGAGGAACCTCAATTTATTTAGGGCACACATAGATCGTAAGCAGAGTTGTAAAACTGTGTCTCCGTGGTGCCTGCAACTCCTGTCTAGTGCAGTTCTGGCTGGCAGGTGGGGCACAACACTGCCTTTCCCAAGTGTGGCCAGAGACCCAGGCTTCAGACCTGAACTCCTTCCCAGTTCTTTCTGCTCAAACTTGTCACGCCTTTGTTTATACCTCAGGGACTTGCTTTCCCTGAGATGGATCCCACAAGGCAATGGCTTACTGTGTTGCTGAAGCTTGAGTCACTGCACATATTTCACACATCGTGCCAGTGGGATGGAGCTTGATGTCAGAGAAAGCACCTTCTCCTTGCTCTCGTGTCCTTTTGTGTACAATCCAATATAATCAGACAGGGCATCAGGAGACCTGGAATTTGTGCTCTTTTCATCTGTCAAATGAGGCAGTCATATCTGCCCCTCTTTTCTTGCCTTGCTTTGAAAATAAATGAAACAGTTGAATTCAGACCACACAAACTTATTGACTCCTACTGGGATTATAGATTTGAAAGTGTGAAAAAGCATTTTTGAACTCCCAAGAGAAATATAGTTTATCCAAGATGTTATTTTAATGGCAAAGTTTGTCATGGCTTAGAATGGGGTGCCACCAAAAGTCAACAGCACTAGAAAAATATAAATAAATCTTGCTTTGTGAGAAAAAGAAAATCACTAGTTTGGGAACCCTCACACAGCATGAGAGAGTGTCTGGTGATGTTACAGGCTGTTTATTCATTATTAACCTACTGGTCACTGACAGCTGTATGATTGGATTTTTAATCTTCTGCTCCTGAGGTCATGATCACTCCAGTTCCAAGATGTGACAGAATAATATGACCCACTTTTATGACAAAAAAAAAAGTGAGGGGAAGACAGAGGGAACAGTGCTCTAAAAATTTATTATCATCTTCAGCTGGGACTTGAGTTGTTCCTCTTGTTGTTTGTATAGTTTGACTTACTAGGGAATAAAATAGAATGCTGACTCTTAACATCATTTCTCATACCCTCGCTCATCATCATCTCAGATTTATTGAGTACCTTAATCATAAGGTTGTCCCTCAAAGCTGGGTTCTCTGAACAGCCCGTTTCACTTATTACCTGCATTGCCCTGCATAAGGCACTTAACACACTGAGCCTTAGTTTGATCATCACTGAAATAGGGATAACATTGCTCTTTGCCTTGGCTGGCTTGCAGAGTGTTCATAAGATTCGACCAAGGAGATGAAAAGCATTTTGTACAATGTGAAGTCTTATTCAGGGTGATAGACATAATTTTGGACCGCCTAGAGTATGAGATGGTAAATTAAAGCATTGTTGGTTTGATAATTTAAGCTATTAGAATTAATAGAAATACTTTTTGAACTGTCCACAGTTTTGTACCATGTGCTCTTTCTACCACTGGACCGACCATTAGCTCAACTTGAGAATTAGTAAATAGTTTCTTAATGACAATGATGCCAATGGGGAGTTGGCTTGGAAGCTGGGCTTTGGTATTATCTTGGAAACTTGGGATTGATATAATGTCAACTTCCCATGCAGGAAGCTTTTCCAACTTTAGTCCTTAAAGTGGACCAAAGTGGTAGTTTGGACTATTTGCTATCTGATGGTAAATGGAAACCTTGACCTCTTTCAAACCGTCTGCCTTATCTACTCTTCCCCATATCTCTCTTCCTCAAATCTCTCCAACTTTAATCATCATCATCATCATCATCATTATCATCTGTATCTAACGTTTCACTAGCACTTGCAATGTATCAGGCAACTTTGTGAGTGCTTTACATATGTTGAATTCATTTAATTCTCTCAACAGCCTCCTGTTAAAGACAAGGAGACTGAGGCTCAGGGCAGTTGAGGAACTTGTCCCGTGGTTGGTAAATTATAAAACAGGGGTTTAAACCAAGGTAGTCTGGACCCAGAGCTCATATCTTAACAATTCTATTTGGCACTGCTTCATGTACCTGGTTCCAAGAATCCCCTGAGATGTTAAAAATTTCTAAAAATCTGCATCTATTCTCTTGAGGGCTTAAAGAATAGTAAGACTCCATTCAGGAGCATTTTTAGTCATTTTGGGTTGCTATAACAAAATACCATAAATTGAGTGGCTTAAACAACAGAAATTTATTTCTCACAGTTCTGGAGGCTGGAAGTCTGAAATCAAGGTGCCAGTATGGTTGATGTCTGGCGAGGACCCTCTTCTGGCTTGCCAACGGCTGTTTTCTTGCTGTGTCCTCACATAGCAGAAAAAGAGAGGGCTTCCCTTTCTTATAAGGACACTAATGTCGCCATGGGGGCTCCACTCTCATGGCCTAATTACCTCTCAAAGGCTCCCACCTCTGAATACCATCCTACTAGGAGTTAGAGTTTCAACATATAAATTTGGGGGGACACAAGCATGCAGTCCATAACACTCAGCATCAGTGACTTCTCTTCAGTGACAGTCTATTCCAATTTCCATTCCTCTCGAACAATCCTCCCCTTCCTTTGAGTGCCCAGGAAGGACAGGAACTTTGGGATGAAATGCAGTACCACCAGAAGTGGCCCAGTTGGGGACATTTAGGGCTTCAGGAAGTGGGACTGAAATCCCTCCCAAAGGGGAGGAAGGGCTGGGCAGCCGAGGCCTGGGTCTCTGGGAGCTTCCACCACTGCAGTCTCATCTGCTCCAACCAGATGGAGCCGCAGAACAGCAGGAAGTCAGGGCAGCCTCATAACAGAACCAGCTGAGTAGGACTTCGCCATTTCCGTAGGTCCCTGCTGTGCCCTCGGAACTGGCAAGAGAGGGCCGGACACCCAGGCCCTAGCTAGATGGGAGGGGCTGATGTAACTTGGAGACCACACAGACACCAGGGCTCACTCCTGCTACCCCAGCCCTGATCTTCTGAGCAGGAAGGGGGGTTAGGTGCAGGATGGAGTGGGTAAAACCTAGAAGTCTCACTTTGGTGGATCTGTATTCATCAATGGGAAGTGTGTCTCAGGTCCACGCCCTAAAGATACCAGTGTGTGTGTTCTGCCTCAGACAGGGATGACTTGGGACCTGTAAGGGGGGAGAAGAGGATTGGTGAGTGGATCCAGTTGTGGAGAACTAGGGATGATATAAGCAAAGGAAAAAGATAAGGCCTGACACATACATGAACTTTTGTTTTGGTACCCTGCATGCTTTACTTAATTCCTGCTCATCTTTTCTAGCAGCAGTGTCCTTGTTAAACGGATGTTCAGGCCCATGGAAGAGGAGTTTGGTCCAGCACCTTCTAAGCAGATGAAAGAAGAAGGGATGAAGCGAGGTATCTCCCCTGTTGGGGCACTCCACTGGCGTTGCTGAAGTAACCCCTCCTCCAAGGGGTTGGTGGGGGCGTTTCACCAAGAAGACCCCTGTGGTTCACTGCGGGCTGGGAGAGTCTTTATTGACACAGGAAGTCCACAGTCTTCTCCTTTGCTTTAAACACTGTCCTTTTAAACACCTTAAGCAAATGTTTATTCTTTCTGGACACTGGTTCTTTCTTTTGCCTTGGGAGAAGTGTAGTAAATATACTGACTCATCCAGCAGTAAGATACAAGATTTTTAAAGAAATGCTTGCTGTGTATGTGATAATAGCATCTCATAAGCACCAGCAATTGAGAGTTAATTGTTCAATAGATGAAAATTATTAATCTCACACAAATAAATGAACCTGTTTTCTATGACATCACCACGTATTCATTTTCTCCCAGTCAAGGGTCTTATTCCACTTCACCAAGAAAGTAAGAAACGAAGCCTGAGCCTGTCAATGTCTTGCTTATGATGCTGTCCAGAACTCACTGCTCTTCCTCCGAGTGAGAGGACAGTGACGAGGGTGGCAGTTTTTCCTCCATATCCTGCTGTAGCCAACACCAGGAGCTTCCAGAGACCTTCAACTTATACAGCACTGGACTTTTTTAATGAGTCAGGTTGCCATTTAAATATAGCCACCATCCGCACAGGCTTGAGATTTTTGTTATTGAGAAATTTAATTTTTTTCCTAATTGTTGAAATGAGATTGGCCTACTGGTCAAGGGTATCCCCTCTGAAGCCTCGCTCAGCCATGTGGAGTTGTGTGACCTTGGGAAGGTCCTCGGCTCCTTGGAGTACTCATTTGTAAAACAGGGATGACACTGAGTACCTCTCTCATAGAGTCACTGTGAGGATTGATGAGTTAGTGTATGTAAAACACTTACCTCAAATGCCTAGCACACAGTAAGCACTTGTGTTCACTATCATAACTATTAATTTTATTATTAGGCTGGATCTAGTTAAGGTATATTAATTGTGAATAGGTAATTAGCGTTTCAAAATGGAAAGAACAGAAATAGCTGGGTAGTATTAATTACATGAGCAACATTTAAACCTTTAAAAGATCTTCCGACTTCACAGGCTCATCATCAAATATTCAAGCGCATTTTGATGTCCATTCCTGCATGCCTTTTATATCTGAAACTTTGCAATGAGGGCAGAGGTATATGGAAATCAAGAATCACACAGGCAAAAGTAAGCGTAGCCTGCATCCACGTGGTGCGTGCTGGCTGCTCCAAAGGTTGTGCTTTTCAGATTATTTTGAGATGGTGAAGCCAGTACAAAAATTGCCACTAGGAATTGTATTGGGCTGTGATGAAAAGCAAGCCTGTGGCCTTTGAAACATCTGAATGGTAGACACATGAGGGCGCTGTAACCTACCAGCAATAGAGAACAGTCTCCCAGGAGTGGCTTTTCTTTGGAAAGGACAGTGGAGTTCCCACTCTGAGCTGGTCTTTGACAAGCACAAGGAATCAGGGTCGCTGACAGTTCCCATTGTTTATTTGCTAGAAGTTCTCCAGGAGAGAAAATGACTGTAATTATCACCAATGCCATTATTTGTTGTTTTGCTTTTGTAGCCGCTTCTCAGGGTGGCTCCGTGGGAGTCATTTGGGGCCACCCCCTGTGGCTGTCTGCCTTTGTCTGCACAATGTCTGGGGTGCGTGATGGTAGTTATTGCTGTCCCTTGCGGAGCGATGATTATGAGTGCTCTGCCACAGACACACAGATGATGAAAGCTGACTCCCTGGGCAAGCCGTGGGGGTGTGCTGTAAGCCCAGCATGAGAGTGTGGCAGTCAACAAGCCCAGCAAGAAAATGGGGGCACTGCCCTGAGGGTGTCTCTCCCACAGCCCATCAACATGCCACCATACCGCCTTTAACCCTTTCCAGAGACGCCTGCAACAAGAGTAGCAGCCACACTGTATCAAAGACAATGATTTTAAAAGAAGAGATTTGTAAATCCAGTGGAAGCAGTCCTCATTTTAATAGAACATGACTTGGGGTTTCCTTAGGGTCAGCTTGCTGGAAATTGTATTTTTCTGTTGGGGGCTGTGGGAAGAAGTTATAGAATGTTCATCTGTAACAGCCATCAGTGGGTTGTTTTGTTTTGTTTACTGTAATTTTTCTCATCTAGTTGTATTTGAGGTCCTATGGTCTCATTATTTCTCATTATACTGCTAACATTGAGTCTTTCTGTAGTGCCATTAGGTCACTAGATCATTTCAGCTGAAATGAAGGCTATAAAATGTTCCTTCCAAAGGACAAAATTTGGAAATTCTTTAGAGACACATCAATCTGTTTATTTAATTGTTATTTTATTTTTATACTAGGTAAAGAGAAGAAACTGTGCAATACTTTTTTTTTTTTGTCATACACAAACTGAACATCGGCTAGCTGCAGAAAGAAAATGCAGGCAGAACTCCTGTGCACCCATGTAGACTTTGCCTTTATAAATCGGGCGCTGTAATAAAGTCCTTAGGAATTGGGGTGGAGGGGGAGGAGGAGTGGGAGATTTAGTTAGAGCTGATTTTATTTCCTGGCTCCAACTTCATTCTTCAGGTGGATGGCGACAGTAGCTCAGTTGGTATCTGATTGTAGTCGAGATCCAGGCTCAGCTGAGTTTTTTGACCTGTGCATTCTTCCTCTAGCGGCTGGGTGCATGGGGCTTCATCCTTGGCAATCTTGCTTCCCTCTGAAGGAAGAACCAGAAGCCACATCACTGGGAAGAGGGAGAGAGAAATGGCAGTCAGCTCTCTGGGGCTGGAGGGTCGCATATGAATGGCAGTTCCCAGTTCTTTCTGGGAGCTAAGCCCCAACGAGGTTGCTGTTAGGAAGGTACAGGCAGGGAGGACAATGGTGGAGCATCTTCATTCTCTGAGGCTGGGTTTGCGCATCTCTAATGATACTCGGGGTTCCTAGCATCTCTCATATCCTGTGTATTGTCAAATTCAGAATTTTATGTTATAGAGAAATGAACAGAAAGCTGCATTTGCCTTCTCTGGGGGCACTAGAATCGCGACAGTCACTTCATGAGAGCATCCACTGATTGAGGAATGGGTGCTTGCTGTGTGCCAGGCACTGTGCTAAGCGTCTCACATGGATGGTATTTCATTTAACCCTCACAGCAGGTGTATGAAGGAGATATTATTATTATCCCTGTTTTACAGAGAAAACCAAGGCTTGGAGAAGTTAAAAGACCTGGTCCCCACAGCAGGCTGAACTGGGGTCAAAACCAGACTTGTCGTGTTCCAGATTCTAAGCTTCTTCCTCAACTTGCCTGTGACACACACTGTCTCCCTCCCAGGCCTTTGCACATGTTGTTCTGTCTGCCTGGAGTTTGCTCTCCCTGGCTTCTCTTTCTCCCCGCCCTCCCCACCTCCCTTGCCTGTGTTGAGACCTACACATCCTTCATAACTCGGATCTTTCCTTCAAGGTTACCTTCTGGGAGCCCCACCCTACCCACCCCGCTGAAAAGCTCAGGCCCCTATAAGCACTCTCTCATTTCTTTTTCATTCATGACTCTTATAACTCCGTCTGGTTGTCCGCGTGTTTGAGGAATGCCTGCCTCTCTAAGGGACTGCAAACTCCTTAAGGGCAGGCTGTGTCTTAACTCGTTGCTCCTAGCACACAGCCTGGGACCTAGGGCCCCAGCAAGGGTCACAGAAAGAGATGTCTCTTTATAGATCATGTCGTACAATGACCTTGAGAAGTTTAAATGTGAGCAATGTGTGAAAGCATCTTAACAGCCTGTTAGGTGTTACCCAATTGTCAGTTTATTTCGTCGACCCACTCCTCAACAGTCCCTAGCCGCAGATTGTCTATGGAGGTGCCTCATCACCTTGTAGGATGTTGTCTAGGTCGGGGGTTCGAGACTTAGTGGATAATGTCAGACTCCCAACACCTGTGTGACAGGAAGCAGTCTCCTGTGGCAGTCTTGTGGGCTCCTCAGTCACGGCTTCCCTCCGCCTTCTCTTTCAGTGCTTTTGTACGTGAGGAAGGAGACTGACGATGTGTTTGATGCTTTGATGTTGAAATCTCCCACGGTGAAGGGCCTGATGGAAGCGGTAAGCAGTGAACCCTTTTCCACCTCCAGGAAACCTGTTCATATTCTCCTGAGCTGGGATCCATTTATTAAAATGCAGCCTTTGAGATGGCTCCAGAATGAGCTTTATAAAGGAAAAGAAAAAGCAGAGATTTATGGGGACACAGATCTCCATGCTGTCGTGGCTTAGGAAACTGAAAAACTGCCAATTCCCTGTCAATTTAAGCCTAATCAGAGTAAGATGCCATAGAGAATGGTTAAACTATGAGTTTCCATTTGTCTCTTTGCATGAAACCAATTAAATATGTTGACTTCCAAATAAGTAAAGAAGAAAAACAGTTAGGAAGTATCTTGCTAGTTGTGATGGTGTAATCCAAAATAAAAATTTAACTTCTTTTGGTTAAGAAAAAATATATATTGCAGAGTTATAGTGATTTAAGTAAGATTCTGAATTCCCTCCCTCCCTCCCTTCTCCTCCCCAACTTAGTGTAGCATTCTACAACCTGGGCTCAGGAGAAGTTCTTTTATGTTTTATCCATATATTATCCGTCTGAATATGGCTTAAATATGACTCTACTTTTAATATGATTTCTAACTTCCTCCTACCTTATTTTTTTCCTGTCCAACTATGTTGTAGAGGATCCAGGTTTTTTGTAGTGATGGAGACAACAGGGCTGCCAGGGGACAGTCCAAAATCATTTGTTGGTCTGGAAAACTGCTACATTGACAGCATCTTGGGTTATGGGGTGAAAAATTAAAATGTAGAAGATAGTGCCTATTGGTGGAATCACACAATATGTGGCCTTTTGTGGCTGGTTTCTTTGACTTAGTGCTTTTGAGGTTCATTCATGTTGTAGTATCATCAGTACTTCATTCTTTTTTATGATTGAATAGTACTCTGTTGTGTGGATATACCACATTTGGTTTTTCCATTTATCACTTGATAGACATTTGGATTTTTTCTACCTTCTGAGTATTGTGAATAGTGCTGCTGTAAACGTTCATGTACGAGTTTTTGTTCGAACACTTGTTTTCAATTCTTTTGGGGATATTTCCAGGAGGGGAATTGCTAGCCAGCCTCAAAAGGCCATATCGTATAACTCAACTTATAGGAAATATAAAAAGAATAGGCAAGTTCGTAGACACAGAAAGCAGATTAGTGGTTGCCAGGGGCTGGGTGAAGAGGGAATGAGGAGCGACTGCTTAATGAGTTTCCTTTTAGGGTGATGAAATTTTCAGAACTAGATAGTCCTGATGGTTGCATGACATTGTGAATGTACTAAATGCCACTGAAGTGTACCCTTTAAAATGGTTAAAATGGCAAATTGTATGATATGTAAAAAAAAATTATTCATTGTTCATCTGAAACTTTAAAAAGAAATGCACAGGAATGTTACCACCGCAGATTTTACACTGCCCCTATGGTTGGCATTATTAACAAGTCCCCAGGGCATCCAGGACCACCCTCTAAGAAATACTGATGGAGGGCTTAGTAATCTTTCCTATTCCACAGGATTTTTCATTAGAATGGAGTTAATTGTTACTGAATCTACTGTGCATAAAGGAAAAACAAAAACAGAAATGGACACAACAAAAACTATGATCTATATCTCTTCAAATGAACCATAATTTTAAAAATGACCCCAAAATTGCCAGAGGTAGACACATGAGCTAGAGAAGCCTATAAAATATTCAGGCCTCTTTGGGGTCCTTTGGACAAATTTCATGCCCCCAATCTGGCCTTTAAGATCATGTTACTGAAACTGACTTACCTAGGACAGTGGTGAATATGAAAATCCCCTTAGCAGTTGTCTCACATGTGTGTTTGCAGAACCCAACCCCAGATTTTGATTCTGCTGGACGGGAGGTGGGGTGGTGGTGGAGGATCAGGAGTCTGTATTTGTAACAAGCTCCTCAGGGTGTTCTGAGATCAGCCAGGTGTGGGAACCTCTGATCTAGACCAACCCTGAACTGATTCATCATACTATGATTCATTACGCCTTCTTCCTTGGTGTCTTCCTGTCCTGTCTGTGACATCTGGCCAGTTCCACAAGTGTTCTATAGCAGTGGTCTCACTGGACCACAGTGGGGTTAAATGTCACCTTCACTCCCACCCAAACAGCCACCCAGCATCCTCTGGCTGCACTCCCCGCCACAGCAGAGTCAAGCTTTTAATCCCTTTTAGGGGAGCTCGTTACACCTGCCTTGCTTTGCTTAGCTGGGGGCGGGGGGAGAGTAATGCATAGCGTCCTTGGACCTTGTAAGCTGTAGAGAGGTCAGCTTCTCTAGGCTGGCTCTGTTCAGATTCTTTACGGCAAGTCTGACTTCACCTCTCCTTTATTAAGCCTCGCAAGAAAAAGTTTAATTAAAGCACCAACACAAGCTATCTCCTTGCTGCCTAAGTTGTGCAAATGGGAAAGCAGGGCCAGAAAAGCTCCTTTGGGCTCCTCGGCGGGTGCAGTCTGGGGGTGAATTCTGAAGGAACAACAGTAGCAGCCCCTGCCATTGGGGGGCAGCCATGAAGGACAACAGGTTCTATCTCAGTGAAGCCGTGAGCACACCGTGAAGTGAGAAGGCAAAATTGTGAAGAACCCTGGATCCTGCTCACTGTAGTTGTACTCTAAGTTTATTTCTTACCCCACCTGGGGGGGTAAGAAAGGGCTCTCTCTAGGGTCTGGGTTCTCTGAGGACCAGCACCTCAGTAGTGTACGACATTTTACGGCCCTGACACTTACCAACACACATGTGTGGAGGCAGCGTAGCCAAGGGAGCCCAGCACAGAGGCTTTGGGATCAGAAACCTGTGTTCAAATCTTGACTGTGCTGGGAGCCGGCCCCGTGGCTTAGCGGTTATGTGCATGCACTCCACTACTGGCGGCCCGGGTTCGGATCCCGGGCGCACACCAACGCACCGCTTGTCAGGCCATGCTGAGGCGGCGTCCCACATACAGCAACCAGAAGGATGTGCAACTATGGCATACACCTATCTACTGGGGCTTTGGGGAGAAAAAGGAAAAACAAAAAAAAAAGGAGGAGGATTGGCAATAGATGTTAGCTCAGGGCCGGTCTTCCTCAGCAAAAAGAGGAGGATTGGCATGGATGTTAGCTCAGGGTTGATCTTCCTCACAAAAAAAAAAATCTTGACTGTGTCTCTTACTAGCTGGGCAAGTTCCTTAATTTCTTCTTCATCCTTAAAATGGAAATAATAATAGTACCTACCTCACAGGGTGGTTGTGAGGATGAAACGAGACACTTCAAATATTAACCCCTCTGCCTGATTCCTAGGTACCCAATAAAGATTAGCTTTTGTTACTAAACCATTGTTTTGAGTAGCAATCAGAGCTAGAAAAGTCACAGTGTGAAAATTTCCTCCTTTTGCTCAGATTTTGGATTTCTCAAATAATCAGCTTCTTAGAGACGCTGTCCAAAAGATAGAAAGTCATCTTGGCTGGTGATTCCATTACATAATTTCCTGCTAATTTGGCATTTCAGAGGAGGCATGGAGCTGTGGAAATGGTGCAGGTGACTGGGTCTGAGACTCTGGAAGTTATGTGGAGAGTTCCCCTCCTGAGTCTAGAGGCAGAAGGCTGCTTCCTAGAAATGATCTTGATGCTCCACAGTCCAAGGCCCCACACTAAACGAAGTCTCAAAACAAGTAGGCAATGGGACCCCGACCTCCATGCTTTATTTCAACTCTTAATTTTAAAATAATATCATCGTGTGGGGGGTTTTATGTTTTTTAACAAAGCCACATTAACAAAAAGTCCCTAACTTTTAAGAAAATATGTTTAATCAAGAGATATTATACTTGACCTCAAGCCATCACTTTGAACCCTGTCACTGGTTGAAAATGGCTTCTCATAAAAACAGACACAGTCCCCCACTCATGGTGGACCTAGCATGTCCTGTGGGCCTAGGGTGTTGCTTCTTTAAGTGGGAGATTCTACGGAATCTCTTAGGGCACTTTTCAATGATGTCATCCCAGAGCCCCATGCTTGACCTTCAGAATCAGGCTCTCTGGGGGCAGGCCCAGGCATCAGCATTGGTAACAAGCTCCCTGGTTGACCTTGAAGCACACTAAAACTTGGGAGCCTCAACTTGGTGTGTACCTTCGCTGGAAACTAGTGTTAGGGTCTGATTCTGCCCTAAGGTCCTATGTGCATATTCACTTAGAATGGGAATAAACCCCCTTATTATACTCTTTTGGGGTCAAAGGTCCTGTAAAAGTCCTTTGGAGCAGGGGAGTGGCCCTGCAGGCTATTCCTTGTTCATAGCCCCAGCCCTGTGGGTTTTGGAAAGTGGCATGGATCTAGGCTACCTCCTTCATCCTTCATCAGCAGACCTCACAACTTCAAAGGTAAAAGTGCGCCTTGTGTCAAGTATGTGTGTGTGTCTGACAATTGTTTTTGAAATAGAAACACCTGCTTCATATCAATATTCGTATTGTTTTATTCTCTCCCTGAACTAGTTATTGAAAGGTTGGTTGTGCCTCAGCTTCTTCATCTGTAAAATGGAGTCACTCAGAGCATTAAATGAGTTAACACAAGCATCAGTAGATATTAGCTGAGCAGATGATGGCAACGACATTGGTGACAATGCAGCTGCTTCCACAGCAGGAGGATTTGGATTGCTTTCCAAATCTCTTCTTTTACATCTCCTGCTAAACTCCAGATTCCCTATCCCAGGCATCTGACCTATTCCCCGGTCAGGCATTATTTAGATGTAAGAGAAAATCTCTACTGGAGGATAAAGAACCAAAAAAAAGTCTTCCATTTTTTCCCTTAAAAAAAAATAATTGCTGGCAATCAGTGAAATGTTGATTTGTCACGGAGACAGAATAGAACAGTGTCGTTGCCCTTCCTTCAGATGGGAACTGAGGTCTGAGTCAGAAGGTGCCACATCAGACAGATTTATTGAACAGTTTGGAGATGGTGACCGTGTTCCTACAGCCTACACAGATTTCCTAGAGCCTGTAAGTCAGGTCACTTAATAAGATGGAGTACTTCTGTTATCTAGAAATTGG